ACTGAGGTGGAGATGGTCACCAGCCGCCGTTTGTGCCTCTTGGGATCCAAACGCAGGCTGGAGAACCACCTCTGTAGGCGGCGCATACGCAGTAACCCCTGCGGGACTACAATGTGAGCAGCCGTCATGAGACTCAAAGTCTGCATGACAGTTAAAGCTGTCACTGTCGCCCCCTGTCGCAGCCTGTGAACCGCCCAGAGAAGGGACGCGTAGCGCGCCTGCATGGAACACCACTCCCAACTACAACGCCTGTTAGTGAGGTATGGGGGTGCTCTTTTTTCAATTGATCGCAAAGCCTAATTTGGTTAGGTGTGTGATCAATTGTGCTGTGCAAAGCATTGCCTGTTCCCTGGACCCGGCCATGACTATGAGGTCGTCTGGGTAAAAGAAAAACTCTCATGCCGTGGGCGCGCAGCGGTTGAAGCGCAGCGGTTGAAGCGCAGCGGTTTGAAGCGCAGTGGCCCACACATTTACTGAACGTGCGTGGGGATAGGGAGTAGCCGAACGGTAATCTGTTGTACTCATAGGCTATCCCCTGGAAGGCAAAACGCAGACACACTCTGTGCTCCGGAGCAATTTCCACATGAAAGTATGTGTCTTTCAGGTCGATGGTGGTCAACCAATCGCCCGGTTTGCACTAGCCCCATTAACTGTTTTTATAGTTAACATGCATCATTTTCTGCAGGCAATGTAGCGATTCGGGCTGCTGAGATCTAGAATAGATCTGAATTCCCCTGTCTTCCTGAGAACCAGGAAGTACATGGAATAAAGACCATTTTCTCTGTGCTAAGGGTGCACAACAGACACAGCCTGTTTCTGCACCAGAGCCTGAATCTCTGCTGAGAGGAAACCAATCTCCTCCTGGGAAGACAGATTTCCTCTCACATGCCCCTAAAAGGAGGTGGGACGTTGCAAAACTGGAGTGAATAGCCCCGTTTCAGCGTCCTGTCCATCCACTTTGTTAGTACACAGCTGAGTTTCAATTCCCCATAACGTTGTGTTCATGGAAAGCCCTCAGCTGTGGGGCCGCAGCTATGAAACTCTCTGGTGACCCGTTCCGCCGCAAAACTCCCCGTGAAGGGAAGATTTGCCCATGGAGGGTCGACACAGAAAGGGGCGATTATTTACTGAGGTCCCTGAACGCACCGCCGCGCGCTCCACCATAATGCTGTTTTTACCACTACGGTAAACAGCATTTAATCGGAGTCTTTGTAGGCGTAGTGTGTTCTACTGAGGTCCCTGAACGCACCGCCACGCGCTCTTGTGTGAGTGCGGGCTCCGCCATAATGCAGCCTTTACCACTATGGAAAACTGCATTAATTGGAGTCTTTGCTCTAGGCGTAGTGTGTTCTCTGACAGCAATACGCCGGCCATAATGTCCCTGCACCTGCATAGCGCTCTCCTTTAGATAGCACTCCCTGCAGATTTACAAATATTATATTTTGACCTTAATCGAAATATTCGGTTATTTTCAAAATCTTTTTTAGTCTGATGCTTCGATTCATTTTAAACAGACCGTTCAACAAAAGGATACCCAAAATCTAAATATTGGATTGTTCTTTCTTAGTAAGATCCCATTTTCATTACAATTGGGGTCTTACCTTGACTTGAAGATGAAGTCCATGCTATCCTTCTGGACAACAATCTCTATTACTTTTTTGTAAAAGTCCTCCTTATCTTCCTCTAGTTTTCAAAAGTCTAGTTTGTTGTTTGCGTCTACCGTCTCTGCGTAGAATAACAGTAGCAACAAGAACATGTGGGCTCACTTGCGCCCCCTTCAGTGCGGCAGAGGGTATGGCTGCCTCCCCTGGTGCTTTTTTCATTGCCGTTAGTATGATGAGACCAGCGAGCCTAAATATCATATATACGTGAAATAAGTTATTTAGAGACTATGGATGGCGAGGATAAATGTAATAAAGGGATCGACAAACATTACATTGGTGACATACAGTGAGATGGTGCAGGCATGCGCTTAGGGCCCGCTTTCCAGCCAGTTTCTGTGGGGTGACGCATTCTGAGGTGAGGCAGATCTCATCTGTGCCTCACCTTACCTCACAGTAACTGGCTTGAGCGCGCTCACAAAATAAGTGCCCGCGTTAAATTAGTGCCCGCGCTCCAGCCAGTTACTGTGGGTTTACGAGAGGCAGAGCTCGTCCCTGCCTCACTTCTCATCGCTACCCGTAGTTGTAGCGGAGCTCGGTAATTTGCTGATTTTGACTATAAAAAGCGATTGGAATCAAACATAAATCACATTTACAACACAGATCAGTGGAGACATTTTATTATTATTACTATTTCGTTTTTCTTTAGTTGTTTTCCCGTTACATTGGAGTAAGACAGGTGAGGCTCTGCTCTACTCTGGGATAAATGCACTCGTTCTCACTGAATGCATTTTTCCCCACACACACACATCACTCTAGAACTAGAGTTTACAAACGTAAACCACCGTTCCCCTGCGGAGGTCCCTGAACGCACCGCGGCCACTCTCATGAGGGCCGCGCGCCCACGTATTAACGCTGTATTTCCCATTCCCATTAAATGCATTAATCTGAGCTATTATACCAGGCAAGGTGTGTTTTCTAACAACAGCACGGCAATAGCGTCTCTTGAACCCGCACAGTGCTTTGACAGCACACGGTTTATTCCACTCACGTGCACACGCCCACCTGCTGGCTCCCTATAGCCTACTGGGGTTTACAGCGGGGGCGGGGAGTGTAGGACAGTGTTTCTTCCGCTGGGGATGGGCAAGAATCAGCCACGCTGCGATTACTCCTTATCCCGTAAGCAAGGAGATCGATCCATAGAGCCCTTCCGTAAAGACGGGGGCTCCGAGGAGATCAACACAGTCCTCTTTGGAAAAATGCCATGCGACGTTAACTCCCAGGGACATCACAAGGCAGGCAGCGGCGGCGGCGGCCTGTGATGAAGTAGGGTCGACCCTATATCATGTGAAGCCACCGGTCCCCGGGGGGAACCGGGCCTGGGGCAAGGCTCGTGGACCAAGCTACTTATTCGGCCTTGCGGCCCAATAATCGCTCTGACCTGGTGAGGCGGGGGCATCTCAAGCAATGAGCGAGTAGCCCACACACCCGCCGCCATGATCATCATCCAGGGAGAGTACAGCCCTGGGCGGTGGACTTCCATGGACGCCGGACTCGGAAGGAATGGCGAACGTGAAATGGCACCGCCTTGGCCATCTCCTGGTCCCCCAAACACTCGAAGCAGAGGTGGTGGGGGTCCGCGCCCGCTATCTTTCTTTCTCTTTCTTCCTTTCTCTCAAAAAATACGTCTCGGACTCAGTGCTAGGCTATCACCTCCGCTCGCTGAAGAGTAAAGAATGGTGGTCAGGAGGCGAGGCCTCGTTTTATACGGAAGTGAGATGCGCACGCATTCAGGTAGGCCCGCCCCGGGGCCGGCTACGTCTATAGAAATCTCAGTAGGTGAATGCTTGCATGATAAGGTAGTACCCATAGAGTCCAGTAGAGGGCGGAGCCTGTGAGAGATATAACGCCCCCAAAGCATAATGCATTTCCTAACATTCGGTCTATATGCTGTAAAATGTATTATCTCTTCGATTTACACACGGCATCTATTGCACGTCTGTCCGTCCTGGGAGAGGGATCCCTCCTCTGTTGCTCTCCCTGAGGTTTCTCCCATTTTTTCCCCTTAAACTGTGGGTTTTCTCTGGAAGTTTTTCCTTGTACGATGTGAGGGTCTAAGGACAGAGGGTGTAATTTTTCTCATACTGATATTCTGAACAATCTGTGCTGTTGTATTTGCTGTAAAGTGTCTCTACTGTAGGCTATTTTTATTATATGTACAGCACTTTGGCTCGACCAAAAATCTTTTATAAATGTGCTATATAAATAAAACTTGATTTGATTTGATTTGATAATGTTTCCACCTCCATGCCTGACGGAGGGTGTTCTGGGGTTATAGTCAGCATCTCTCTTCCTCCAAACACGGCGGACAAGCTGATGCCAAAGATCTCAATGTTGGTCTCATCTGAACACATCACCTTCTCCCAAGCCTTCTCTGAATCATTCAGAGGTTCATTGTCAAACTCCAGACGGGCCTTTCATGTTCTTCTTGAGCAGGGGGGGGGGGGCCTTCAGGCGCTTCAGGATTTGATCCATGATGGTGTAGTGTGTTCCCAATAGTTTTCTTGGTGCCTGTGCTCCCAGCTGCCTTGAGATCATTCACAAGTTCCTCCCGTGTAGTTCTGATCCCTCACCTTTCTCCTGATCATCAAAACCCCACAGGGCCAGATCTTGTGTGGAGCCCCAGCCCGAGGGCGACTGATGCTCATTTTGTCTTTCTTCTATTTCTGAATAATGGCACCAACAGTGGTCTCCTTCTCACCAAGCTGCTCTCTGATGGTCTTGTAGCCAGTCCCAGCCTGGTGCAGGTCTACAGTCTGGTCCCTGAGGTCCTTAGACAGCTCTTTAGTCTTGCCCATGGTGGAGAGGCTGAAATCGGAGTGATTGATTCTGTGGACAGGTGTCTTTTATACAGGTAACTAGTTGATATTAGGAGTACTTTTTTAAAGGAAGAGGACTTATGTAACCGGTCTGTGGGAGCCAGAATTGGTTGCTAGGGCATCAAATAATTATTTCACACAATTAAAGGCAAATCAGTTTAAATCTTTTATATAATGTCAATTTCTGGATTTTCTTTGTCATATTCTTACTCTCACTGTTAAAATAAACCTACCATTAAAATGATAGACTGTTCATTTCTTTGTAAGTGGGTACATTTACAAAATCTGCTGGGCATCAAGTACTTATTTCCTCCACTGTATATATATATTCAAAATAAAGAATGAAGGTAGCCTCAATGAAAACTAAATAAGACACCTAAAAGAAAATGCAGGTGTAACTTTAGGGGTATACAGTTCCCTTTTTGTTTTTGTATTCTAATTTGTAATCCCATTACATGTAATCTGTTACTCCCCAAGCCTGGTCATCACATACCTCTACCCTGCAATGTCTCTCCATCAGGCCTTCCCATATCCTCCTGAGCTGTGGCGTCCCCTCAGAGCGGGCAGCGAACGCCCTGAGGCTGAGCGTGGGGAGGGGGACCACCATGGCAGATGTGGATGCAGTTGTGGAGGACCTGAGGGAGACTGTGCAGCTGCTGGAAGACATGCTCTGATTACCTTCTTCTGGGTCAAATAATAACATCATGTATGTGTTGTGTTCCACTACCTGATTATGTCAAATGGATGAAATATTGAATATAAATAATAAAGGGGAACCTGAGGGATGATGCTATAGAGAGATGACTGTTCTCAGCTTCCATCATGTCATGTGAGGAGCTAATCAGCTAATTAGAGTCAGGGCAACATGTATGAGTTTTATGAGAGAAATAAACAAATTCAATCAACTATAACATATGATCTGTAGACAATCATTTAGCAAATGTGTAATTTGTTTAGCCATCCCCATTGAGATGATTATTTATAATAGTAGTACAAAATAACAGTGGTTGTAATGCACCATGCCTCTTACTTCTCCCATTACTTAAGTTTCCGTGTCGCCTCAGCTCCCCCATCTCCAGTGAAGCGTTGGTGCGTGTGCCACCATATGGTCACTGCCACACAAAGGACAGTGGGAGGCTGCGAGTTACGCGCCTCCACCGTCTTTCATTACCTTTCTATCTTACTCGTACTGACCCCCCCTTCCTCTCCCCTACAGCCATGCTGGCCAGCTGGCTGCCAGCTCAGGTGTCACTTTCCTGGCTCAGAAAAGAGACAATGAGTGCCTGAGTTTTTGTTATTGAATGAGCATGAGTGAGTTAGATATAACCTGGTGGGAGCCAGAGAGCTGCAGGGAGCTGCATCTGTGGGCCATCAGTAGCTCAAAGCAGCCATGAGGATGGTTCTCCATCGGGCCTTCCAGGCTGCTCGAGGGGGGGATGTCGCACTCCTGAGGGAGCTGGCGTCTTCCGGTCACCTCTCACCTACCATTACTGATGTTCAAGGTGCTTGCCCGGTGCACCACGCGGCGAGGTATGGACGCCTGGAGTGCCTGCAGTTCCTGGTGAGCGAGCTGGGGCTGGCAGCAGATGCCCGGGCCTCCAACAGGGCCACCCCTGCCCACGATGCAGCCGCGACAGGGCATGTCCGGGAGCTGCAGTGGCTGCTAGACCTGGGGGGATGCAACATTGAGGTAGGTGTATCCACTCTGTACAATCTCCACAGAGAAAGAGAGGGAGAACATATCCCGAGAGCTTCAATGCCTTCGAAATGTGCCACATATTCAGCTTCTCTCGTAATTTCTACTGACTGTGAGTCTAAATTCAGGCGGGCTTTAGATGGTCATCTAACTGCTCCCAGTATGAGGTTACATCACTGCAGTTGTAAAGAGTACTGTACACTACCTTTTAACCTCCATTACATCATTTGGTGATGACTAACTGGGTATCCATTAATATGAAGTAGAACATGTAATTATGTCCAGATGCTCCCACTGAATGTAGCTATTAAGTAAGGCTCTAGAAATTATGAAATCCATGATGATTGAATTTGCAGCTTAAATTAAAGAATACATATTCAATTTTTTGTTATTATTTAAATGTTTAACACCATGATATACAGCCCTTTATATTAAAATAATATCTAACAAAACATACATTTGCTTTGCTCAAAACAAGACAATAAAATAAAGTGAAGTGGAAAAATATCCTATATGATTAATATTGCAGTTGTGATGTAATTCACAATAACTTCAAAAAAACTAAAAACAAGAATGCATCATGATCTATGCCAAAATACTTTATTTATGGCAACAGAATGAAAAAAAATGTAAGTACTTAAAAAAGTCCAACTAGCTTAGAAACTGCATTGTCCACAGAAATTACTCTTCACCTGATAATTTCTTGAATCTAAATGCTAGAATAATAAATAAAAGGTTCTCCATATTTTCACAAATAAATGTTTATCAAATACCACCAAATGTCTTACTTGGTGGACCTTATGAGAATCCCTACTGTTGCTTTGAAAAACATATTTAATAGGAAACTCCTTTGACCTGTCTTGATGATCAAGAGTGTTTATTAGAAAAAGCCTTTACAATAGAGGTGTTCTCTCAGCCTTGATCTAATAACCCATCTGTGTGTTGTTCCCAGGATCGGGATGCAGCCGGTGCCACGGTGCTGCACCTGGCGGCGCGGTTCGGTTGTGTGGAGGTCATTCAGTGGCTGCTTTCTGTTGGAGGGGCAGCGGAGGTGAAGACACACTGTGGAGCTGTACCTGCTCACTATGCCGCAGCCAATGGGGACCTCACCTGTTTAAAGCTGCTTGTTCAACACGCACCGCGGTAGGTTCACAAGCTTTGCTAATTGTTCTTCTTATTCACTTCTTTTTAAACCAATAAGGCTGAGAACACTACCGAATATTGCAGTGCCAACATTCCACCAGATGTGGGTTTTATTAAAAAATAATAATAATTGAACAGAGGCAAACAACAAACTCTGGAGAGTCCAACAAACTATAAAACCAGCATCCTGGCCACAAGCTGCCTACTGTTCTAATACTAGAGACCGGTGACTGACATTTGACTTTATTATGTTCATTTAAGATAGCTATCTACTGTATATCAAGATTTGTTTTATGTATCTATTTCAAACTTTTCATCATTACTGTGTGCTAGCTTTATTTTTAACAATTTATTGAATAATTGTTGTTATATTTTTATTTTCAACCATCTATGTTTAAAGAGATTTCTATAATTGTTTAAGTACTGTTAACTAGTTTTTTCTATCTCAACCAATATTTCCAGCGTTATTTATTTAAACTGTATAATCAAGCTTTGCAAGCATTCTCTATTGCAACCTTTCGATCATGTATCCAGTACTATTAGCAAGCTCTCTTTTATTTAATTTTGTTAGCTAGCTTCATCTGTTTCATCTACTACTTTAAGCTAACTATTCCAACAGGTTGCCAAGGTCTAATCAACTTGTTTTTAAACTAACTTTACTTTTTAGTTAAAGGTAGGGTAGGTAAGAATGGAGAAACCAGCTCGAGTGCGCTAGAATTTGAAAGTACGCAGCCGAAAAAATCTGCCCCTTCCTTCAGACTTCCTCACAGAGCCCCTCCTCCAACACACATGAACGCGCACATGACCAATGAGGGCACGAGATAAGTTTGTGCACAGATGGAAGGTTGACAGGCAGGTAGGCCATCCAGTTATTTTAGCTCAGATGATTGGTCGAGCACCACGGCTTCCACATATTTTTTTAATGTATTTATTGTCAAAGCATTTAATATATCATTGCTATCGGGATGTTAGAGCATTCCATGGAATATAACAAAAAGTGTATCTGAAGTGAATTACCTACCCTACCTTTAACTATTTCAACAGTTTTCATTACATTTAAAGGTCCCCTATTATACTGTTTTTCATCAATATATCACAGGTCTCAGATATATACAAAACATGTCTCTGAAGTGTTTGGCTCCAAGTACCAAACAGATCATTGCAGCATTACCCATAATCCCCTCTGTTTCATCCCTGTTTCCAAAGTGCTGATTCTCTGTCTGTTACTTTAGATGAAAATAAGGAGCCCCTCCCCACGCCCCTCTGAGAGACATTTGGTTACAAAGAACTCAATGGTGCTCTAGGAGGAGATTCAGGTGATAAGGGGGGGGGGGGGGGGGTTATTGGCTAATGGTTACACAAGCCAAAAAACCATTATGACATCATAAAGTGGGCAAAATCTGATCAGCTCATTTTCAGAGAGAGAATATGTGTCCACAGAAAAACACAGAGGGGACACATGTTTATGTATAAAAGACATAGAAAAAGTGGATTTTGCATAATAGGTGACCTTTAAGTAACTTTTTCATGGAAATTGAATACTTTTCAGGCTAGATTGTTTTCTAGTAGCTCAATTGCAGCCTGTGGTGTAGGGTGGATGGGAGGACGTTTATGTAATGTGCATTCAGCCTGGCTACATTTACAGTTACAGGTATGCTAGCAGCTATTAATGGTAGCTTACTTGTTATCTTAAATGTAGCCTTCTGAAGTTCAGCATTGTACCACTTTGTTAGGCTTTTTAGTCTTACACAGAAATATTTGGATGGGTAGTGAAATCAAATCGGTTTCAAAATAATTAAAACCCAAATTTAAATCAGTTACCATTTTCCACATAGGCTACGGTAACAGCAAAGCCACTCACTGGGGTACAAGTAGTGCACCATTTAACCTGATCGATGGTTTACCAGATGAACTGAGGCATAGGACTAAAGGACTAAAGTCAAACATCTGTTAATGTTAGAAAGCAGGATATAGTACAAATGTACTGGAACAGCTACTATTTATTAAACTGAACTTTTGAAGTGAGATACAACAACTCTTGCGCACACCTTTTCTGACCAAAAGAAGGGACTCTTATTTAAGAAACACTCCGACTGTGTCTCAACTATAAACCATTATAACTAATCTGTTACCTTTAGAAAATGGAGACACTCGACCATTTTATAGTAATATGATAGTTACAGCTTTGGGTGCCTTTGGTTTGACATCATAATTAGACAACATGACTTGTGGCATTACAATCTGCTACACAGATTCAGAGCAGCAAGTCAACTTGCCCCCCCCCCCCCCCCCACTAACACTGTTAGTCACATGCCAGCCTTGTTGTTGTAGAAGTAAAGTGTGTATGTCAATGTTAATGCAGCTCTGTGTGACTGACAAACCAGGTGGGTCGGGTTCACCTGTCATGGCTAAATAGCTAATAACAAGTATCCGTACAGTTTATTTAACAACAGTAAAACTGTTTATATTATTCAAACTGTACATTGTTTATTTCAGTATTAAGTTTGTCCATCACTTCAGATCAAAAGATCCTCCATCATTTCCTAATGTGAACTCTGTCACTATTATTAACCATTATAACAATTACAAAATACAAATGTTAAGCTTGGAGCAGAGGTCTGATAAACACTCCTTTATTTGTGCTTGTTCCGAGATTTAAATACTCAGCATTTTGGGAAACATCATTTTTTTGGAATCCTTTTTTTATTCTTAAAGGCTTCTCTTTAAGATTCTGAATGTTATATACTGTATATAGTATCTGTCTCGACTGAACAGAAACTGTTTTGATAATTGTAATTGTTAAAGTAATCTGAATCATTTTAAACGCAAAAGTGTTCTCAACCCACATCTATTGACTTGGCCTGATTTAATATCATATTACAGTGAATATTTGGGGTTTGAGACTGACAAAACCAGAAATCACAAACATCCCTTTGCAGTTTGAAACACTTGGGTGGGCGATTTTCATTTTTTCCTGACGTTTTATAGACCAAACAATTAGTTTCATCTAGAAAATAATGGGCAGATTAGTGAGTTGCACACGTTTTTAACATAATAACATTATTCATACACATAATAAGATCAGCTTTTTTCAATCTCTGAGGGGAAATTCAGTTTCACTAGCCGGTTGTTGCTGTCTGTTGGTCTCCAGATGTGTGGACCAGCAGACGGTCCTTGGGGCCACCCCGCTCTATCTGGCCTGCCAGGAGGGCCTGCTGCAGGTTGCAGAGTTCCTGGTGAAGGACTGCGGGGCCGACGTCCACCTGAGGGCCCACGATGGCATGACCTGCCTGCATGCTGCTGCTCACATGGGCCACCAGGCTGTGGTGCTGTGGCTGGTCAGTGGAGAGAACTCGTGTTGCTGTGACGTATCAAAGTGTTGCTCACTCGTGTTGATCCTTATCATTCTCTCCACAGGTGAGCTGCACTGCCGTCAGTCTGTCCGGCCAGGACCGGTACGGAGCCACTGCTCTGCACTTCGCTGCCAGCAGAGGGCACTGTTGCATCTTGGAGAGGCTGCTTCACATGGGTTCAAAGGTCATCAAGGATTACTGGGGAGGGACCCCACTTCATGATGCGGCAGAAAATGGAGAGCTGGAGGTTGGGAGCACATTTTTTATTTAGGTTTCCTTTTCTGTTGTTATAGTTATGTCTTATCTTGAATAAAGCAAATACAATTTCATAAAAGTATGTTCCATACGTATATATATATATATATATATATATATACACATACATATATATATATATATATATACACATACATATATGTCTTATATTCCTATTTTCAGAGTTGTAAACTCCTGTTGGCCAATCAAGCGAACCCCTCAGATCAGGATATTGATGGGTTTACAGCAGCAGACTTGGCGGAGTACAATGGACACCATGAATGTGCCAGACATCTCCGTGCCATGAAAAGAAATGTAAGCTCTCTCTCATCCACAGTATATTTTATTTCACACCTTTTCCTGCTTTGTTTCTCTCTGTTAGCACTACCCACCTTGTTATTTTTGCATTACAATTCAAAGCTTGCTTCTGCTCACACAGCAAAAATCTGGAAGGTCTTGGAACCCTGGTGAATAATTGTCTTACTTTGCGACATGAATTTCATGCATGTGGAACCTGACAGGCCTCCTCTGTTATCTGCCACTCAGCATTATTGCTTGTTCTCTCAGTCCAAGAGGTCTAGTGGAGGATGATGGCTTTTGTGTTCTGATGGGCTTTACAGGCGATGGTGCCGTGAGTGCCGGAGGAGATACTTGGTTCTCAGTTTGCCCTGAGAGATAAGCTCTTTTGTTATGTGTAGGAAGCACGACACTCCTTAGTGTGCTTGATGAATATTTCAGTGTGAACACATTGTTTGTGCTGGCGTGGCCTGTTCAAGTCAAAGGGTCAATTCCGTAAAAAGCTGTCCTGCATTTACTCAAATTAATGGTCAGTTTGTTGCGCCTTGTTTTTCTTTTAAGGCAAAACACCGCAGGCCAAAACACCTTTTTCCATGCAGTTTGTCCTCTTTCAGACTAGTGGAAAGGGAACTTCCAAAATACACATGTAAATGTTTTTGTTAGTATTTTTGTTCTATTTGTGTCTGTAGATTTCTCCTAAATTAAAAAAGTAAGCAATACAAAATGTCTTCATCTTGCATAATTAAACATGACATTCAGAAAGCTTGAAATACAATAAATAATTATCTTAATGTTTGAGTAGTGCTTGCAAAATGTTTGAAATGTTACAATACATATATTTAAGGATAAGAAATTGCACTTTCTAGTTTTATTTCTATATATATATATTCTGAAGTTTCTTTTACAGAGAGGTTTATTCATAAATATTTTCATTTCAAACCTTTATTTAACCAGGTGAATCCCATTGAGATCATCGATCTCTTTTTCAAAGGAGACCTGCTGCAAGTAGGTTCCACATGAAGCATCAAAACCATAAAAACAACAGAACAACTAAAAGGACATCATACAACATAGATACAGGGATTTACAATGTACATACCTAACGACATGTACAGGTTGACAATATTTCTGAACTATGGAGTATAAAATCCTCTCTGTTTAATCTTTGACTCTCATCTGCGAACAAAATCAAACAAGAATTTAGCACCTGGTTTTGTGGTACATTTAAATAAAAAATAAAGTTGAGTTATTTATTGAACTCCTCAAAGTGCTTTTACATACACAAGTCATCATTCACCCATTCACCACACCGCTGGGTTTGCCATCTTGCCCAAAGAAACATGTTTATTGCCGGGACTGAGATTTAACCGACAACTTTCAGTTTTTAAATGTGACTTCACCACAGACAGCGACAGCCAGTCGACCGAGGGTCAGTGTCCTGCTCTTGAAATGTTTACACATTCAGCAGATGTTGCATGTCAGCAAATCCTTGTCTTGTTGTTATCAATCAACTGGTAAAAACCATTGGTTGATATTTATTAGGATACATCCGTTAGCCCATTCACCTGCAGTGTCTCCCCCTCAAGTAGGTACATTCCCTAATTGGTGTTGCAGGAGGATACTGATATTCGAGCTTTTGGAGTTGATTTTAAATACACATCATACAGTTCACTGAAGTTCTCCTCTGTAAGCAGACCTGTTGACCCTTGAAGCCTAGCAGCTATCCACCTGTAGCTGTACTCTGCTCTCCCCATCACACTTCACCTGCCGCCTGTAGCACACAGAGTGAAGAAAGCTGTGGACTGATAGAAGCGATTAATAATTCATCAGAGAAGAGCAGCACTTAATAGGAGGATGATAAGAGAGCCGGCGAGGCGTGGCTCCCCTTCACAAATAATCTCTCTGTCAACAATGAGAGCTACTTAGCCAAGGGGCCGCGGCAGCGTCCAATGCAAGCCGGAGCCAGGGCCAGCTGAGGGCCTATCAGTTACCCCTCTCCCGCGGCTCAGGTGAAGGGCCCATGGGCCGAGCCCGTTATGAGATCCACAAGCTTGAGTTTCAGCCTTTTCACCATTCTGATGCCTGGAACTCGCAACTCTATCCCTCTGTGGAGCGGAGATCAGGATGTCATTGGCTTCAAACACACCTTTGATTGTGTGTCATGTTTTTTTTCCAGGGAAGTGCTATGATTGTCAACCTCTGGATACTATGTGATGTTGGTGGAAGACAGAACTGATGGATCAGATTTTTTGGTGAAGTATGAATGGGAGACACAAACCCAGCGAAGTTGGGGTGAAACCAAGAGGTCATCTGACAGAGAACCTGTAATAGCTGGTAGTTGATTTAAATACTCATAATACTGAAGAGCAGTCATGCTTGCTGTGACAAAGATGAGATGCTGTTTGATGACAGTTTGGTGGTGTTTTAGGTGCTTGCGTAGATCACAGGTTTTCATCTGCTCTAAAGTCAGTCAGATAATCTCATTTCCGAGCAGCACTCTAATGGATTGGGACAGTGAGCAGGGGAGCTGTGTGTGTTTGGATCCCTCACAACCAGGTCAGACTCCTCACAACAGATCCTCATCTCGCATCAACAGCTGCAGGCCAATAAACAGTGTGTGCCGTGAATTTTCATTCACACACATTTTGTAGCTTTTGCTCTCCACCAACAGTTGTTGTTTGAGCATGATATTTTTAGAACAGAGGAAACGTATTGTCGTCTAATTCATTACTGTTTTTGTTCATGTTAAGATTTCCGATTTGTTTTGGCCATGAGAAACGAAACAATACTCCTTTTGATATGAATGATAAATTATGAAATATCGAATCGTCATTATCATTGCAGAGAATGTAATAAACTCATGTGTTTGTCAGAGATCTTCTAACATCTGGCTTCATCGTAGTTGCATGTGTATAACAGATGGGGAGGAGATATATGAACCAAGCAAATAGAATAGATAGTTACGTAAGTAACTGCCGTTCTATGAATCCTGGATGATGCTTAGCACTGAATATCTTCTGTCTCGCGCATGTGCAGGTCGAATATTTATATCAACAAAGTTACGTGTGACCTCGTATGACCCCGGAAGGCAACAGTTCCGGTTGTTGTCAACGAGTTCAGTCCTATGGAATCTTCTCGCGGAAACACGAGATTCCGATGTGACCAAGAACTCTGACGGTCATCCAGGATTCATAGAACCGTAGTTACATACGTAACTATCGTTCTATTTCATCCTTACCTGACCGCCAGAGGCGGTGCTTAGCACTGGATGACCTATACCAACAGAGTCACGAGGAAGTCTGAATACTTACCCTCTAGGGATGGCCTAGGTGGACCCTGTAGTATCTGGCGAATGTGCTCGGAGATACCCATGTGGCCGCAGCACATATGTCTCCCAGGGGCACACCTCTCAAGGTCGCCCATGATGTGGAGACACTCCTGGTAGAGTGGCACTTTACTCTGGATGGCAAGGGACGGTCATTCGCCTTGTATGCCTGGGCAATGACGTCCACGATCCAGTAGTACAAGCGCTGTTTTGAGAGCGCACAGCCTCTTCTAGGACCACCGTAACACAGAAAGAGCTGTTCAGACTGACGTATGCCTGCCGGTAGTCTGGACATAAGCTCTAAGGGCCCGCACCGAGCATAGGAGTCTTGATCTCTCTTCCGCCTCTCCTGATGGGGGGTCAAAACCGTGCCAGCTGGATATGCCGATTAAAATGAGAGTGTGCCAGCACCTTAGGGAGGAACGCTGTGTTCGGCCATAAGGTGACACCTGAGCCATCTGAGTTCCACCTCAGACACGAGCTGTTCACAGACAAGGCATGAAGCTCGCTTACACGCTTTGCTGATGGTGATGGCAAAAAGGAAAGCAGTCTTAGCTGAGAGCCACCTTAGTTCTGCCTGTAACAAGGGTTCAAAGGGAGGCAAGCATAGGGCCTCCAGCACCAAGGGGCAGATCCCATGTAGGAGCCCTTGGGATGTTCGGGGGGCGAAGCCTCAGTGCTCCCCTTAAAAGAGGGATACCAGCCTATGGCTCCCCACTGTGCTGTTGTCAACCCTTGCGTGTTGAGCTGATATAGCAGCCACATAACACCCTGACGGTAGCGGGACACCGGCCGTCGTCCAGGAGGGACTGCAGGAAACTCAAAGGGTAGTAGGCACCGAGCAATGTACTGGGTCCTCATTTCGCCCTTGGCACCAGTCCGAGAGACAGTTTCCACCTGTTTTCGTACTGCTTACGAGTAGATGGTGCCCTAGCATTGAGAATAGTCCTCCTGACAGGCTCTATGCAGTGGCTCAGCAGTGGGTCCGGGGCCCTCCAGTGGCCTGACCCACAGCTGGAGGCGGCAAATGGTCGGGGTGCCCACATCCGACCCTCCAGCTGAGACAAGAGGTCCTTCCTGTTGGGGAGACGCCAAGGCTTTGCTGGCCAGAAGGGGGCCACCAGAAGAAGCCTGTGGCCCTGATGAAGCACTCTGTGGAGTGTTGGTAGGATCAGAGGAAGGGGTGGATAGGCATAGAGAAGGACACCCTGGCCATGAATGAGCCAGAGGGTCCTGACCCAAAGGGCTGGTCTTCTCCATCAAGGAGAACCATAGGGGGGCAGTGGGTCGACATCTTCGAGGCAATGAGATCTACCTCTGCCCTGCGGAAGAGACCCCAGATGCTGGCCACCCCCTCTGGATGAAGCCGCCACTCCCCTGGTGGAGGCTTGTGATGGGAGAGGAAGTCAGCGACTTGGTTCTGCTCTCCGGGCAGATACATTGACCGTACGCTGGCCAGGCAAGGAGCTGCCCAGGTCAGGAGTCTGGGACACCTCTAGCAAGCGTGCAGATTTGGTGCCCCCCTGGTGGTTTATGTAATACACCGTTGTAGTGTTGTCCGAGCGGACAAGCACATGTCTCTCCCTCAGGTATGGCAGGAAGTGCCTGAGTGCTCGGTGCACAGCTCGCAGCTCTAGCACGTTGATGTGTTCTGTGCAGTCCTGAGCAGACCACTGCCCACTGTCTTATTTTG